CAACGCTGACTTCCTGTCAATGGATTACTTTATCGATTATTCGTTGGCACACTTCCTTTTTGTGCTCAGCTGCTAACCAAAAGGTCAGTGTTTTGAACTCACCCAATAGCTATGTGGGAAACAGAACTGGTGATCTGCTCTTGTTAAGGATTGTTGTTAAGTGCTGTGGAGTCAGTTCTGATTCATAGTGTCCCTGCATAGGGATTCCAAAGAGCAGCTAGTAGGTTTGAACTGTTGACTTTGTGGTTTGCAGTCCAGTACCAATCCTACAGTGTTACTCTATCACATTGGAGTTACTATCAGTCTGAACTGACTCAATAGCACACAGTAGCATGACTGACTGACTCACCTGGCTACTAGTCAGTTGCTGCACTGCCTTGTTTATTAGGATCGTGGCTGTCCTGATTCTGAGGCGCTAGTCGAAATTAGACCAGTCTCGATCTACTTGGGCAACATGATAATCCACGGGCAAGGACCCATCCCTTCTCCCTTCACCGCACTTGGTCTGGGCACTGCCCCTAGTTTGTTGCTATAAATGTCAAATCAACTAGGCAGATTAGCGTGTACATACTGTTCCGACACCATCAGTAATTGAGAATTTACTGTGGGTGGGGATTCCTCATCTGAGGCTGCATAAACAGGAGCTTCATGATCACCTGGAGATTAAATGCAAAACCCAATTATGGCATTCTTTTATATTTTCCTTGTGAAATTACATTTTCCTCTTTTCAAACACAAAGAGGTTAAGAATCCACTCTACAATTTTCAAGAGTTAAACTATTTGAATTTCTTCTAATTGTAAACATATTTAAGTCAATATAAATATAAAACCTAAGGTAAGATAGTCTGTATCTAAGGAATAGTCCAATTCTTTCTTTATATAGCAGTAGCTAAAATCTGAAGGGATTGATTTAAACATACTAACAAAGAATTTAATATAACAAGACAAAACTGCAAATTAAATCAATAGAAATTAGGTAGATCAATTTATTTGTATATTTCACAATTATAATTGTAGAAGGGCTGTTTGACAAATTTCAGCATTTCTACAAATGCTATCTATAGACATGTTCAACAAAAAGGCATTACTCTCGGCCCTTTTACAGGTAAAATGTCCTATTGCATCACAACTGATAGGAGATGCAGTAACACAATTGAAGGCATAAATATTAGCAAAATTAGATGTGGTTTTTTTTCCCAACTGATACTTGATAAATAACAATACAAAGATCCACCAATGGCTATCATGACCAGCAGAATACAATCCAGAGGCCTATCTACTTAAAAGACTGAAACTGGTATAACAGTATTGAACTTGGCCTTTTTATCCTTAGGTTAGCAAGTCCAGAGTGAGATTTCTCTGACAGCAATTTTACAAGGTGTGCAGGACAGTTTGGGGAAGACTGGCAGTGCATGCTATGATGCATACTCCAGGACAGCGTTTTTGAAAACTAAAAATGTGTCCTGGATTATAGTTTATCAGGAAGAATATTTAAGGATTGATATAATTCGTTTGCCCAAACCACTGTTCAATATGTCATCAGTGGGCTTAAAGGGATAAACAGGAATGGGAGAGGATGAGGTAAGATGAAATCAAAGGAGGAAAAAGAAAAGTAGAAGAAATACGTTTTGACTGTTGGGGAATATGAAAAGGCCACCAGAGAAAGGCTTTAGCTGCCACTCAGAAGTGCTCTTCCCATTGGCTACCTGTCCCTGGATCACCAAACACTCAAATTTAGAGCACGACTTGAATACAGGCATTACATTTCAACTTTAATAAAACTTCACGGATTTGGACTGAGAAAGAATACATATTTGGTTCTGTAAAAAGAATCAAGAGAGTCAGAGGTATAGTTGGTTACATCGAACAAAAAGAGCAACTAATTCCAATTGTTGAAGACGTTAATAACAAGTAGAAGAGGCTGTACCCAGCATGCCTTGAGGAATAGTTACGACGTATTTTTAGGTCAGCTGCACAGAGCACTGGATAATTTGTAAACAGATTACAAACATGCCCCTTCCAATTCCAACAACCCTTATTACCCCAACTTGCCCAGAACTACAATTGTTTTAATCAAAGTTTCCAAAAACTAAATGTTTCTCAAAACTGTAGTATCACATTAGAAGCTCCTCAGGCATGAAACAGCTTATTCCGGGACTTTAGCCAGTTTTCACATGTATTTATCTCTAACTTCAGTTGACGCTGTTCTAATAAACGCTGTTTAAAAAGGATTTTATTAAAATTAGCCCATTTTGTTAAAATGTTCATTCAAGTGATCGTGATAAACAGCCTGGAATTATGACTTCAATAAACTGAACTTTGAGACAAATCAAAAACAGAGAGAAAAGTTAAAAAAATCTGTCCATCCCAAGCACCGGAGTCCTGGTGTAGCACTCTAGGATAAGCACTGGACTGCTAAACACAAGGTTCGCGGTTCAAACCCACCAGCTGCTCTTGAAAACCCTAAACAGGGTTATTAGCTGGACTCAACGGACCTTAACAATCACCCCGAGCACCAATATTGGAGATGAAACAATAATACCTACAGATACTTAGTGACAACTCTTCCCAAGAGAAAATCCTGAGATTTGAAGCATTATAACTTTACAGAAGGCAGGTTGGTTTAATGAGAAATGTTTACCCTTTAATAAAAAGACAGTATTTTACTTTGGGCACTTACTCGGCATCTCACAGATCCTCAAGTTTTGAGGTAGGTTAAATATTAATTAGCATTGCATGTTACCAACAAAAACTTGGGTAGAAGTTAAATTACTAGTCCCAGGCCACAGCAAGTGTCCAAGGTCAAGAATAACATGCTCCCTCCAATCTTTCAGATTGTCTTCCCAGATGTGTAAACAGCTTGCAAAAAATTCATGACAAAAAATATAAAAGACATAGATATTATAGAAATTTTACTTTGGGATATTCTATAATTTTAAAATGACTGCATATTGTGGAATAATCTACTTGCTCCCATTGTTATTGATACAGAACATCCTTAAAATGATAAATTAGCACATTACTGATTTTGGTGTTTTTCTGCCTTGGTAGGGGGAAGCAGGAAGAAAATCAAGTTTTGCTCAGAGTGTTAAGCAGCCTTTTAATGTAGTTAGTATGCTCATCTGGAGTCCTGGTGTGGTATGTATTAGACTGCAAGATTGACGGCTCAAACCCACCAGCCGCTCCTCAGAAAACCTAACAGGGTGGCTGTAAGTTAGAACTGACTCAACGGCACTGAACAACAATGCTCAATTACAATGATTTGGGATCATCTCAAGTCAAAGATGAGGAAGAAATAGTATCAGCTTAGGGTACTAATGTTCTTTATCATGCTACAGACGTTAACATGAAAAGAGCTCAAAGACCAGTAAATGTATCCCATGTAAAGTCTGGTCATTAAAGTTCCTAAAAACACCCTCAACCACAAGTAAAATTGAATATATTTCTTCAAGTGACATCTATAGAAGCAAAATAGTAAGATATTTTTAATAAAAATGTGCTCCATCAGCCATGTAAAGTACTTGAACTGTAGCAAGTCTAATTCACTTCACTCATCACATTATCACTCTGACATAGGTTCCTGGGCCAGGCTTCTCAAGTATGTGAAAGTTCCTTTTATTTAAACAATGTGAAATACTAACAATAATACAGAAGTAAGAATGTTACTTAATTGCTTAGAAATTATAAGGAAAACACTATTATTGTGCTATAAAATACAGCATTCACCAGAGTAAATTTTGAAGAGTAAAGAATACAGACACCTATGTTTCCAAATAGATCTAACAGCCAAACTCCATCTGAGTCAAATGAGGAAAAAGGGGGGAGGGGGGTACAAAAGGAGAGAGCACATGCAAGGGAGGGACAGAGTATTGAAGCCTTTATTTTAGCGTCCCCAAAGTTGATTGTGGAAGTAAAAAGTTTCTACATTAAAAAAGTTTATATAAATTATATGAATTGTAACTTTCATAAAAGTCAAGATGAAATGTTCTGCATAGGACAAAAGATATGCCTAAGCAACATATCGTTATTTGCACAAGGCCACTGAATATCATGGTATCAGTAACAAATGAAAAAGCTTAAGTCTATGGCAGAGTGAATAAAGAGTCCAGAGTTTGGTATTCTGTAAGCCCCAGACTGTCAATGACTCTTACTATACAAAAACTATAATGACTGTATAGACTTTTATGTAGAACTCTTGTGCTTCTGGTTGGCACATCTACTGAATATGTGAAATTAATACAGACATTTGTGTGAGTTGTGCAAAACTACTGTATTTACAAAAATGGCACACAAGTGAATTCAACAGTCAATGCACATGCACACGTCATTCACATCATCAACAACAAGAGGTACTCTAACACGACAGAACAGAATAAGAATATTAGCTTCAACAGCAGCTAGTAAGCACTAGTCACTTAAGTTACACCAGAATGGGCAAATATTGCCCAAGTAAATTTCTATTGTTAAAGCTGAAACAGGTTTAAGGCCATTCAAGTTCAAGCAAAGAGATACAAATCTTTCAGAGCCCCATCTATATGTGTTTGAAGTATGTGACCTTTCTCCCAACTTGTGGTCTTAAACTTCTGTTCTTACAATGTCCAAATGGAAAATACAGAAGAAATCAATACAATAGAGGTTATATTAAATAAGAGCAACATACAGAGCTACAATTAAGATGACGTAAGGAAAGCCAAAAACATTAAAAATTGTAAAACTTGCTTGTTACTTCGTTGGAACCAGTCCTACTACATGAGGAGTGAGATAATATATACAATTACTTTCAAGTAGATTATGTTGCTCTAACATGTTCTTTTCATCAGTGCACTGTTAAACGAATAAAAATTCTATATTTTCCCTTATAATAGCAGTATACACACACACACAAAAAGCTGTCAGTCTTAAATGACTTAGTGAATTGAAAGGAAATAAAAAGCTGAGAAATAACATATTAAGAAGAAACAATGGGAATTTGAAGATTCATGCAGTTCAGCTCTTTTAATCAGCCAGCCAGCTTGCTAGCAACAAGGGATGGTTTCCGCTGAGGAAGGTCCTGTGGAGTGGGAATGTGGTCACCGGTGACCTCTGTCTTATCCGGGGCTGCAGTAGGAAGCTGCTTGTTCTTCATTTTTGCCTTAGCCATGTTGTAATCCCCAGAATCAAAATATTTTTGCTATAGGAAAAGTAAAAAGTAGAAAGAATTCAGACTGAAGTTTAAAAGCTTTCACTTGCAAATACAATAGGATATAGATGTAATAACCATAGGCACAATTTAGTCTAGAAACATTTAAATCAAAACATAAAATAACTATGTCCCTGTAGTGAGATGAAACCTAATTTACAAACTGAGAAGTCAGGCAATAAACCCTTCAGCTTTATTTGGATCACTCTGCTTCCAATGCAAAGCTCGACTGGATCTCAAGCTGTCTCACGGAAAGGTACACCTTTAATTTACCAATGGAGCAATCAGGCAGAAACTCTTGCTTAAACAATTTTGAAAATAATTTATCAACTTATATTTAGACTGTGCCATCCACCCTCAATTAATGTTATAGCTATTAAAACAATTATAGCTTCTGGTACTCTACGATCTAGAACAAGCATTTCTGTAAGAATTTAAGTCATATTTCTTTTAACTAGAATAGTTCAATAAAATCAGTGCTAAGGTTAAAATATACATGCTACAAAAAGTGGAAGAAATAAATTTATCACCAGCAATTAATTATCAAAATGCACATGCCTACACTTTTTCCATTTTCACACAACAGTAAATAAGTACAACTATTGCTCACTTTGGTTGGAGGAGTTTATTTGTTACAGAGTAAAAACTGATTATTTGGCTTCTGACTTACACCATTATATTCAGCCCACATTTACTGACTGCCCGCTATGCTCTGTGAGAGGTAGTGTGTGAGAGCTAGAAGAGAGGACAACAGTCAAGTAAATCAGTTACAACACTATTTTAAGTATACAAAGCGCTCAAAGGAAGGGGCTGAACCTCGACCTGGGGTGACTGAGAGAGGACTATTCCAGGTCTGAGATGGGGGCTTGGACACTGGGTGAAGGTGTGGAAAATACATGTTTATAAGGACCTGGTGATAGCTCATATGATACAATGAAATCGTTTAGTGTAAGATTGTTGAGTGACCATTTAAAGTTGCTGGCTGCTTTCCTTGAGGGGCTTATCTACACTAAAGCGCAGAGGGGCTAAAGCTAGAAATTGCTTTTCATGTGTCGCCATACATGCAACACAAGGCACAGTAAAGGAAACTTGGACCAGCAGGTCCTTCCACGGCTTGCTGTAGCTTTATTCCTGCATGATGTTTTAACATGAGTATAGGGGTAAAAGTAGAACATCTGATGCACTGGATTATATTAGAAATAGAGAGCTGCTTCTGAGGTTTAGTATCTGGAGGAAAACAACAAGCAGACTAAATTTCTTACTGCGTCAAAAGCACAAAGTGAGAAATTTTTTTAACACACAATGCAAATTTTAAGGCAGAATTTTCCCAAACCAGTGTCTAATCTGTATTTATTGAGACTTATTTTCCAATAAGTACAAATTCATCATAAAAATTTATTAAACTGCAGATTAGGCTACAATGCTTGTGGAAAAGGGATCAAATGTATTCAGTGTGGCTAGACACAAACTAAAATAAATGTTTAACAATTAGGACTGCCCTAGAAAGGAATAGGCCACTGTGAGAAGCATTATTTGCTGAGAGTCAGGAAAGGCAATTATGTAACAAAACTGTCAGAGGGAAAAAAATAAAGCTTTAGGTGGAGTGAACTCTTGTTTTTCATACAGGAATCAATACATAGTCCAGAAAGTGGTGTTAGTTGTTGGTATCAATTCTGAAATTGAGTTTTTAAATGAAAATTATCTTAAAATTAACAAAGCGTATTCTGGATCATCTGGGTGGGGTGGATTCTCCCACTCAAATGGAGGGGCCATATGTACATCAATATTTACTACACTGGCAGCCAGTGAACATCTATCAAATTTAATTTTTAAAGCCTTGTTACTTTAAATCGAATCTTCCTTTTTCTTGGGATTTCACAAACAAGTAGCTTGTTGATATCTGTCCTAGCTTTGACTATGCAGCCACTGTGTACATTGTCATAGCATGTGGTTGTTGTTAAGTGCGGTAGAGTCGGCTGCGACTCACAGTGACCCTGTATAGGTTGCCACGGAGCGGCAGGTGGGTTTGAATGGCCAACCCTTGTGGTCAGCAGTCGAGCACTGATCTTACAAGTGCCACACCAGGACACCAGTCATAATAAAATAGGTGTCAATTCTTGACACTCTCCTCTTACTTAGCCTAGTAGAATCAACATTATTAGCCATAGAAAAAAAGTGTCCTAAACATTAGTGATTAGATCTGGAATTCAAATAACTTAAAAGAAAAGATTGCGCAATTCATTTCATAATTTAAAATGTACCTGATGCAACACTTTGTAATTAAGACTCGATACAAACAATAGGGCTTCAAAAACTAAATGGAAAAAATGAAATTAAAAGATGAAAATTTCCCGTTAACTTTCTGAAGTCCCTTCTTATCCACTGTACATTCCTATATTCATAAATGAGTATGCGTTTCACCTGCTTTTTCTATCTATCCTTTATATTTTTAAACAACCACAAAACATTCTATTTTGTTGGTTTATGACAATTACATACCCATTTCTTTTCTGAGTTGTGTCACTGCTTCTAATTATAGATAAAGCTACAAAAAGATCCTTCAAATCTGGAAGACTTTTTCCTTATATTGAATTATGTTTTTAGACTTATTCTAAGAGATTGTTAGCACTTTAATAAATTTCGATTTATACCTTTCCAAAATGAGAGTAAGCCTTTTAAATGTTCCACATAGCAAACTTCAACCTTGCCAGTGGGTGTTAAATGTTTTTTCTAATTTAGTTGTATGTATACCACAGTCTGTTGTAATTTATATTTCACTGATTTCTAACATGAATAAACATTTTTCTATGCATTTAATATTTTACTTTCTGTTAACATTCTTTATCCATGGGCAACTTACTATTTTTCTTATTATGTGAAAGAACCTTTGTATTTTGTAGATATTAAACTATCTTATTTACTTCTCATGGTATAGATGTTTTATATATTTAGTATAATTCTTCTTTGTTATTCCTATTATATCAAAACTGTGATTATTCTTTCATGTAAGGTAAAAAATACCATTCTATTTTCTGCTACTTTTTAAAAGAAAACAGTATTAACATGCCTTTGGAATTTGGTTTACTTGGGAAAACAATCCATATATGACTATTGTTAATATGTTTCCACACATATATGGACATATTTTTTTGGAGCAAGCAAAAGATACTAGTATATTTATGACATTCATTTAAAGAGAAACAAGGTTTAGCACCTAATTTAATAGTTCTCTTTTTAAATTATTATTTTATTCTTGCCTGTTCATCGTATGGTAGGAGGGAGATAAAAGGAACTTAAGAAACACAGTATCTCAATTCAGAACTCACTACTGAGAAATAATAGTTGATGTCTCACAAAGCATGGCAAGATTTTGAGCATTTTTGCCCCATATTTGAACTCCTAAAGTTAGAATGTACAAATTGAATTAGAGTAGCCTGACTGAGAAATGTGGTATTATGAAGAGAGTAACCTGTACTTTTATAATGGACTATTTCCTTCAAAGAAACAGTTTTTTAAGCATTTGAGTGTTGTGTGGGAATCACCTTTAAAATAATTAAGTAAACATAAGGGCAGGGTGGATAAATAACAAGAGACTGCTTAAAGAAAAGCAGGACTAAGGTTTTATAAACACGGAATAGTTTCTACTATTCCTACATTTTCTTTCTTATAAAGATAAAATTCAAATAAGTATGGCAAAATACTAACATTAAATCTCAGTGGTGCATATATGGGTTCAGTTACATTATCTGCAATTTTATGTATCTTTGAAGTCACTTATAAATTTTAAAATGTTAAAGAGTTGCAGATAATTCTATTTATAAAATACAAAATTCTTAACAAAAACAAAACTCATTATGTATATATATGCATGTGTGTATACAACATATATGTACATATATACACACACCTACATCAACACACACACACATACACGAGAAGGCTTTAAAGAGTTTGTGGGAAAATTACATTAACTTTAAATTCCATTGTTCCACAAATATTTTGAAGGTCCGTGTACATATAGATTGGTAAGGTACAGAAATATATATACAGACAGACACTCATTTCACAGTGTCTATCAGTACACGGAACCCTAGGACTTTTAGACTTTCTGACAATTAAACATGAGAACTTACCCCTTTTTGTAATCGTTTCCTTAAGAAGTCGGAACCTCCAGGTTTTTGTCCCAGATGAGGATACCTTGCTTTTAATTTTGCTTCTTCAGCTTTCTCTGGACTAGTCACTTTATCTTCCATTTCCTGAAATGATTTAAAATAACTTAGTTCTCTACTGAAAACTCAGTTATGTAAAATTATTTAGTATCTACAGTCTGATTTAGTATCTAGAGTCTGATTTTATTTGACCAAAGCCAAATAACACAGCATCTAAGAAATCAAGCACAGCAGCTTTTTAAAACATCTCTCTCTTGTTTTTCAAATGATCCATGTGATAGGTCTATTATAGCTGTGATGCATGTGTAACACCCCACACACTGGATAAAAATACCCAGACAGCTCAGCTTTGAAGCCCTGCCTGCAGTTACTTTCCAGTCATGTATAATACATTTACAGTTAGTCACCTTCTATGGAACTCTGCAGCTCTTTATCTATAATTAGAAAATCCTAGTTCTGGCTGAAAAAAAATCCTTTGAGCTTCTGCTTATTAAAGATCATGATTTGAAGCTTTTAAGATTCCTTACTAGTAATTAACAGCAGCACACTAACTGATTAAGTTAGGAAAATAAACAATTTCTACCTACAATCGTATTTTCAAATGCTGAATAAAGAATAAATACAGGCATGTCAATTCCCATGTCTGCACAAGGGAGGCTTCAAAAACCTGTGGAAAAATCAATGAAAAGATAATGGAAATTTTTTCATGAGTTTTTTGAAGCTCTCTCATGTACACTGCCTAATTCCACTCCCCCACCCCGCCAAATATGTTAAATGACAAACTGTTCGTGTTCAGATATCCCATCATTTAAGACATCAAAAACAGGTTTGCTGACCTAGAACTATCAATGTTGTTGTTAAGTGCCATCAAGTCGGTTCTGACTCATAGTGACCCTGCATAGGGCTTCCAAGTCGTGGCTCGTGAATTTAAACCACTGATCTTTCAGTTCAAACCAACCTTGTGGTTTCAGTAATGTCAAACTTGTAATTTTATTCACTTTAACACCTGTCTTGATAAAGCCTGGTGTTCAAAGTGAATATAATTCTTCTTTCTAAGAGCTATATTTTACCAGGATATATATAGTGCATCACTTTTTCGTTAGTACTGCAGAAAAATAAGTGAAGAGTTGTCTGTTTTTATTTTATTGTTTTATTTTCTTGGGTGTGTGTGTATGGGGTAGGGGAGCTCTCTTCCCCAACCAACAAGAGACAGCAACTTTGCCCATACAGTCCAGCCACAACCTTACCCTTTGCAGCTCCACCCACTGGGCAAGAGTCAGTGCCAACTCTACACAACCAATCAGTGATAGACAGCAGGTAACACCAGCCAAATCTACCCTAAACTGAGGTGCACAAACAGCAAACGGAGAACAGTGCACATACTCCCATTATTAACTATATCCACAGTGGACAGCTGGTGAGATTTTAAGAACACATGAACATACAATCATCATTTAAATACAACACTACAATGCCACAGAGACAACAATTTTAGCTCACCCGAAGAAAAGAGAGAACGGCTAAAATAAATAAGACCAAGATGCAGAGCCAGAAAATGTTTTTTAGGAAAAGGTAATGGAACTAATTAAAAAAGAACTCCAAAATAATGACATTTAGATACCTTCAAAAGATTGTGAGAAAGACCAAGAAAAGCAAGGAAAACACAGAAAAAACTTTAGTAGAATTCAGGAAAACATTACCAGTACAAACAGACAAAATAAATGTAAAACTTGAAACAATACAAAATCTGCAATTAGAAACGTAAAAGTTAGTATTAAATTTTCAGAAATAGAAATAGACATCGAAAGGATGAAAGAGTAGATTCCAAGCAATGAAAGCTGGAATTAGTGAACTTGAAGATAAATATCTCAATACTACTCTCCTAGAAAGGAACTCTGGTAACGTAGTGGTTACAAATTGGGCTGTGAACCTCAAGGTCAGCAGTTTGAAACTACCAGCTGCTCTGTGGGAGAAAGATGAGGCTTTCTGCTCCCGTAAAGATTTACAGCCCCAGAAACTCTGTTCAGGGTCACTATGAGTTGGAACTGACTCCAAGGTACTTAACAATAACAACTCTTCTACAAGATCAATTAGAAAAAAAGAATAGAAGATCCAAAGAAAGCCTAAGAGTTATGTGGAACACACCATGAAAATGAACAAATTACAAGTAATTGCAATTTCAGAACAAGAAGACACAAAAGAAAGCACAGAGAAAATTGTCAACAATTTGTTGGAAGAAAACTTCCCTAACGTCATCAAAGACAAGAAGATAATCACATAAAAAGCTGAAAATCCCAAACAGGATAGATTCCAAAAGACATATCATAATCAATCTTTACAAAACCAAAGACAAGTAAAGAATCCTGAGAGCAGCTAGCGAAAAACTGAAAGTTACCTACAAAGGAGAACCAATAAGACTAAACTGATTTTGCAGCAGAAACCAGGCAGGCAAGACGGCAATGGGATGATATACACAAAACTCTGAAAGGAAAAATTTGTCAACAAAGAGTCATATACCCAGCAAAGCTGTCACTCAAATACAATGATGAAAATTAGAGTATTTCCAGATCAGCAGAAATTAAAGGAATTTGTAATAACCAGACCAACTTAAACAGCAGACAACAACCTGAGATCAACACACATGACACCACCACTCAGAACTCAATCTAGATATCAAAGTATTTAAAGTAAAACAGATCTACAAGACTTAAAATAGGGAACCAGAGATATCAAGGTATAATGAATTCAACTACAAAGCAAAAAGAGGGACAAAACTGCCAAATGGCAAGGAAGTAGAGTAGTTTTTAAGGCAAAGCAAACTATTCTAAAGAGGAAGAAATTAAGAAATTACAGGGTAACCTCAAAGATAATAAAGCTTTCCATCTAAATTAAAAAGGAAAAATGGGAAGATTTAGTAATATTAACATAATATAAATGAAAATAAGAAAATGAACAAAATGAAATGATGCAGAACAAAGAAACCAACACTACAAAAAAAAAAAAACACAGCAAAATGACAGCTATCAATCAATTCATATCTAATAATAATTACACTGTTTGTAAATGGATTAAAGACACAGTGAAAACAGAGTATCAGAATGGTTAAGAACTGGATCCTTCTTTCGATGCTGTCTACAAGAGCACATCAAAGATGGAGACAGCCTAAATCCCCATCAATAGAATGGTTAACCAAACTTTGGCACATACACACAATGGAATATTAAGTAGTGTTGAAGAATAACGATGAATCTGCAAAACACCTCACAATACGGATGAACCTGGAGGATATTATGCTGAGTGAAATTAATCACAAAAGGACAAATATTGTATGATGAATGTTGCAAAAAGTTAACAAAAGGTTTTCTTGATAAAAGAAACAGTCTGTAATAGTTATGAGGTAGGGGGAGGTGGGAACTTGGGGAAATTATACACAGGCTAGATAGAAGGTTGTCATTGTTAGGTGCTGTCAAGTTGATTCTGAATCATAGGAACCTTATGCACAACAGAATTAAACACAGCCTGGTCCTGTGCCATCTTCACTATCATTGACGCTAGAGCCCATTTCTGCTGCCACTATGCTAATCCATCCTGCTGCGGGGGAAGGAGGAACGTGGTCTTTCCCTTTCTGGCTGGCCTTCCACTTCTCCAAGCATTATATATATGTCCTTCTCTAGGGACTAGTTCCTGCTGATAATAATGTCCGAAGTCTTTCCATCCTACTTTCTAAGGAGCATTCTGGCTGTAATTCCTCCAAGACAGATTGATTGTTCTGACAGTCCATGGTACTTTCAATATTCTTCTCCAATATCATAATTCAAATGCATCAATTTTGCTACGGTCTGTCTTATTCATTGTCCAACATGTACATGCATATGAAACTACTAAAAATACCATGGCTTGAGTAAGGTGCACCTTAGTCCTTAAACTGACATCTTTGTTCTTGAACACTTTAAAAGGTCTTGTGCAGCAGATGTGCCTAATGCAATATAACCTTTGATTTCTTGACTGTTGCTTCCATGAGTATTGATAGCGGATCCAGGCAAAATGAAGCCTTTGACAACTTCAATCTTTTTTCCATTTATCATGTTACTTATTGGTCCAGTTGTGAGGATTTTTGTTTTCTTTATATTGAAGTACAACCCATAGTGAAGGCTGTCGTGTATGATCTTCACCAGTATTTTAAGTTCTCTTTGCTTTCAGCAAGCAAGGTTGCATCATTTGCATATTGCAGGCTGTTACTGAGTCTTCCTCCAATCCTAATGCCACATTAGCATACAGATTGAATAAGTATGGTAAAAGAATACAACCTGGACTCACACCTTTCCTGGTTTTACATCATTCAGTGTCCCCTTGTTCTATTCAAACGACTGCCCCTTGGTTTGTGTACATGGTAATGATGAAGCGTTCTGGAATATCCATTCTCTGTAATGTCCATAGCTTGCCATGATCCACAGTTAAAAGCCTTTGCATAGTCAATAAAGCACAGGCAAGTATCTTTCTGGTACTCCCTGCTTTCAGCCAAAATTCATCTGCTGTCAGCAATGATATTTCTTATTCCATGTCCTCATCTGAAACTGGCTTGAATCTCTTGTCAGTTCCTAGTGAATGTACTATTGCAGCTTTTAAATATAATTTTCAGCAAAATTTTATTTGCATGTAGTACTTGTGATATTGTCCCATGATTTCCGCATTCCTTAAGATTTCCGCATTCCTTAGGTCACCTCTTTGGAACAGATACAATCCAATCAGTTGACTAGGTAGCTGTCCTCCAAATTTTTTGGCACTGATGAATGAGTGCCTCCAGTGTTATATCAGTTTGTTAAAAGATTTCAATTTGTATGTCATCAATTCCCAGTCTTTTTCTTTGCAAATGACTTTCTCCTTCAGTTCCATTGGCTCTTGATCATATGCTACCTCTTGAAATGGGTGAACAGCAACCACTTCATTTTGGTACAGTGACTTTGTGTATTCCATATTTTTTTTTTTAAGTTTTTATTGTGAATTATGTGGGTTTACATGGGAGAACATCAGTTTTACATTCATCCTATTGTATTTCGTTTTATTGCAATGATTACAATGCCTTCCAT